GAAAATGATAGAGCAAAAAAAAATTTACTTCAAGTTCTCTTTTCATGCTTAGAGAATTTTGATTTTGATTCATCATCTGAACAACCTAGTGAATTTCCTAGCTTGTTTGTAGTTAATATAGTTTTCAAAATTAAAAAATTTGATTTTTTAAACCAACAATTTACACAAAGACCCAAGAAATATGAAGAATCTGGAGAATTACTTGCCCTTGAAATTTTAAAATCACAGACCAGTTTAGCTTCTTATAAATCAGTATTTGAGAGTCCCGAATTCCTACAACAGTATTATGAAGCAATGCCAAAATGCTTAACAAGCTTTTTTAACAGATTGGTTTTTACTTTGCAACTTAAAAAGTATGAAATTGTTAGACAAAAACAAAAAGAACACAAAGGCGAAATAACTAAATTTGATAAAAGCAAAATAGTTAAAAATACAGCCTTTTTATCTTCTATAATTTTAAATCTTGTATTTAGGGGTTGGAAATTTTAGCTTCTACAAGTAATTGAATCTTTCTGCAAACGGTCAAAGCTTGCATCATATTTGTGTGATATCCTTTATGTAGCAAATGTAATAACATATTCAAAAAACTATAAATATTAGAGGCAGATCCACAAAAAAAACTTAAATTAGAACAAAATATTTGGAACTTAGCAGTAATAGATAACATTGATTTCAAAGAAAAAATATTTCGGGCTAGTAATCTGTATAATGAAACACGAAGTACAGCTCATGCCACCTTGCATATGGTTTTTCAGTTTGAAATGTCAGATCTTCATACTATGCCTTCAATAGATGCTTCCGATGTCGATCTGTGTGGAAAAAGTCCATTTGTAAAACAGTGGATAGAAAAGCTTAGTCAGATTTTTAATCAATTAATGGCATATTATCCAACAAGTTTTACCATGGATGAAATAAATGACGCACTTCAAGAAGCAGTAGATGAAAAATACAAAATTTTTCAACCAAATATTGTCATCTTAGAGGCTGGACCAGCACCGAATAGTAATCTTGCAGTTCATAAAACTTGCAAAATGTACATAGAAAATCTAAACTTAAATGAAGAAGATACTTTAGATATTGTATGTGATGAAGCTATTTTTCGCAGACTTAAGAATTATACCAATAACAAACTAAAATTAAATCCTATTTTTGGTTAGTGGCATACTAGCAAAGATATGTGTAGTGTTCTAATTTTTGCTTTTTCCGGATATAAATTATTTGGATTAGCATCTATGCTTGGCACGAAGTTTTTAGAAAAACTTCAAGATATTGTTGATTACCATGCAACATTTCATGTTCTTGAACTTATCTGGGCAGCTATAGCAATAGTCATTCACATATATATAAATAATCATTATATAAGACTATCGGAAATTAACAATACAAATAACAATGTTTTAAAAGTTTGGTATTTATATTACCAAT